TCTCTTTTTTTTGTATGTATAGAAATATAACCTTTAAAAATATTGTGCTGTGTCTTTCCTGCTTTTATCCATAGGAAGTCTTCTCTGCCTTCAGAGAGTTGATAAATATTCATTTATCTTTTCACCCACCCTCCACTGGCTCCCCCACCCTCGCTGCGTTACAGATGTATTTTGACGAAAGTATTAAGCCCGTTGAAAGGATTCCAGGATAAAATTTTCAGGGTGGTCCTTTAATTCCCAAATGTTGACAAGTGTCATTCTGAATCTTCATAGGGGACTGCAGGTCCTGAGTGATGAGTAGCAGGAGGGGGTGTGTTTTGCCAGACACTACATCTAAGGCTTCTTCCTATAGGAGAAAAGGTCTTACTTATACTCTGTTCTATGCCCTTGGTTTGTATTACAGGGAATCAGTTCACTGTCGTTGACTCAGCCTCAGCTGTGTATCCGTGTAGCAGGGACCTGTAATTCGAAATCTTGAGCATCTCCCCTTAGCTTTTGTGAACTCCGAAGATTGCTCCGCAGGAGTTGAGTACCTTACTGCTGCTTCTGGGTTAGGACCTGATTGCTGATTTATTGGCAGGTGGCTTTGTGTCTTTGGGGAGAGGGAGGAGGAGGTTTGGCTTCCTGAGAACGATTTTCATCAAGAAAAACCGCTTTACTCTTTCAGCAAGTACAGCAGCGCCCGCTGTGAGCCACCATGCGGGGCCTGTTCTTGTTAGAGGCCAGGACTTCTTGGCAATAGTGTAAATGACAGTGATGTAAAGGCGTTATTGAAGCTGAATCCAAGAGTCCAGAACTGTAGACTGAACCTTTTTAGAGTGCCTGGTTTGAGGAAGTCTGGGATTCGCTTCCCTTTGTGATCTTGATCTTACGGATTTCATTTTCCCCCATGGTGAACCTCCTGGGGGAGCACAGTCAGTGCGCCTCTCACCGATGGCCACAAGGGGGAACCCGGTAGCTTGTTCCTGCCACTTGCGCTCTAGCGCGATCCTCCTTTCCGACACTTGGGGGAGCGCGAGTGGCCCTCGCAAAAGATGGGTGCTTCCAGGCTTTTCACGTTCAGGGGTTGGAAGTACTGTACCCTGGTCATACCAAACTGTCCTTCCCTCATCATTTGCTTGCACACTATTTCTCATCGCTCCAAAAGCAAGGTTACGCTCTGTAGTCAGTGAACTGGAGAACAGAAACATTTTAAAATGTATTTCCTTCTATTCTAGAACATCAAATCGTTTGTTTCCCCCCAAATGTCTCAATTCTTAAGCGTGAATTGAAGATGTGTTAACACTTTTAGGAAACCCAAGGGCTAGAAGCCAGAGCCTCAATTCCCTCCCCATGTGTGGTCTTGTGGTGGATGTCTGGGGCCTTGGAGGAAAAGTATCTTCTCTAAGCAGGCTATTTTTACCTTGCTTGGTGATACCAAGGACAGTAGTTCTGAAAGTGAGGGATTCTATTGTGAGAGAAGCTATTTAACATTAAGAATAGCCAGTGTCATTATATGTATGGCAGGTAGGTGACAGGAAGAACTCAAAATAGCTTTTTTTAAGATGACATTGGATATTAACATAACCACTATTAAGTGGGGCCAGGTATAGCAGCAGCTTCGTAATTCCATTTCTGGTGACAAAACACTTAGGAAAGATACGACTGCCAGTTTCTTTTACCTCTGCCTATCCTCAAATTTGTCAGGGGTGCTAATTGACTACAAGCAAGGGACTAGTTTAAACTGAGCACACAGAAGAACCATTTTCGGGAAGTTGCCTGAAGACCTTCTTAACCATGGAATAAAACAGGAAGGAGAGAATTTTGGTAAGCGCTTTCACCACGAATCTGTGTGTTCAGCCCACCTCCCTGTCAGGTGCTCTGGCTGAGCCCCTGATTGACAGAGTGAGGAAGAGGAGGATGGCGGAGGCAGCTCTCACAGGGAAGCTGAGCTGAGCTGGGCCCAGCCTTGGCTGTAGAGGAGGAGAGGCTTTCCGAGTTTGCTGATTCTAAGCTTTTTGCTGTTACTTAAGTTTAAATAACAAGCGAAGAATTCACAAGGAGGAGGAAGCTTCCGTGATTCGAGTCCTCATACATATATGTTTGAAGTCGAATGACACAAGGATTGATAGTAGTCTGGGAATGAGGAGAATGGTGTTCTTGACTTCGCTCTGGCACTAACCAGAGAATCCCTCTACCTCCCTGGGACGGAGTTTCCTCCTATGTAAAGTGAGAGTCTCTTGTGCTTCCACGTGAGGGACAAGAAGCCGCTCACCAGCATGCTTTCCGCTTTCCTCTCCACGTGGGCTGCCAGGAAACTCAAGTCAAATTGAAAGCTTTAAGGAACTCTGCAGGACTCTCGGCTTGATATCTTCATGCCACTTTCCTTCCTTGTTTTGACCTCCTGTTCTTTTATTTTCCCTGATCCTAGCATTTTCTTATTTTTCGTATTTAATATTGTATTATACATTTTTTTTTCCTATACTGCACCTCTAATCTTTTGTGTGATGAGCATGGTATAAAAAAATGGTAAAATGGGTGGGGAGTCACACTAGATGAGTTCCGGTGGCCCTTCCAGTATTGATGTTCTATGATTCTAGGGAGAAAAGTCATTTCAAATGTCTGGAAGGTATCAGGTTTGCATAGAAGGGAGCTCTATTGAGGAGGCCTGGCCAGTATGTTCTCCTACATCATTGGGGTGTATCTGTAGAGAAAGCAGCACAAAGGTGCTGATGTAGAAGACAGGTGTTCTGTTGGGGTTTTTAGCCTTGCCCTGAGGAAAACCTGGTAGAGAAATGTCTGTCTGAGGCAGGGCTCAGTAATCTGCGGCTGTATCAAGAACTCCAAGGATTTTGATGGGGGTGGTCCCAAGTCACACTTGGATTTAAGAAAGTCCTAGGGAATGTGTATATGTTTATCAGGGGTTGGGGGGAAGCTGACAGAAGATAATTGATGCCTCATCCATATGCTCATCTTGACTTTTTATTATACAAAGTACCTTGATAGAGCTTGAATTACTTTATGAGTGTTTATATACAAATCGATCATATCTGTAAGATCATATATACTGAAAGGCATACTCCTACTTTGAGTAAATGGAAAGCTTTAGAAATATATACTAAACAAACATCGCTTACTAAGCAGTTATTTATTTTCAAAATATCTTATCACTTTACCAAAGGACCCATCATGGGTCCCATTAAATGTCCACATAGTTTGTTTGGACAAGTACTTTCCCAAGGTCACCTCTGCTCTGTAAAGCAGAAGAGCTATACAGATGTTCTAGAGTCGAGCACTTTAGATTTGCTTCTGATTTGTGCCATGAAGGCAATCATAAGCTGGAGGTATGCATTTCAAAGTCAGTGATAAGAGTTGAGCTAATTATTCTATTCCTGAACATAAAGTTTGGGGCTTTCTGGAATCCATAAAAACTAAACAATTTGTTTCTTTCCTCCGTAAATCAGATCTTCTTTACACATGACTGAAAATAGTCTCTGTTTTGCGTTTTCATTGGCCAGATTCTGCTGTTTTAGTGCCATCCTGTTAGTTTCTTTGAACAAAGTGATGTCAGCTAACATTTTTTTCAGACTTCCAGGAAACCAGTCAGGGGGACTTCTCTGTGCCGTACTGGGAGACAATGAAGAATTAGATTTTAGGGCCATAGGGTTTGCTTTCTCATCTGAGAAGGTTGGTAGGTGGGGGATCCCATTCATCCTTTCTGTCAGGGGTGGATTTGCTTTCTGTAGAGGTAAGCTTTGGGGGTCTCTGTGCTTTTTCATCACAAGAGAGTACATTTATTTACGCGTTATTACATCACCCTTTGCCATAACCTCTGAGGTGGGCCCTAACATCAGCACCATTTTACAGATGAGAAAATTGAGGCTTGGAGGAGGAGGAGGTACATAAGTTTCCCTGTGTTCCATGTTGAATTGGAGGTAGAGCCCAGCATAGGACCGGGCTCTAGAACTCACCTTCTTAACTACAGCCCTAGATTACATCATAGAGTCAACAGCTGCTCAGGAGTATGAGGAATCAAGCCTGAGTGATAGAGATAGGAATATAGAAATCTAGATAAAGAATATAGGAATCTAGATCTATAGCTCAAGGGAAGTATTTAGTTGCTTATGAGTTATATAGGTCAAAGAGAGTCATTTGCTCAGTTTAACTAGGTAATTGGCACGATACTTAGGGAAGACCTGCCCCAACAATAATCTCTGTTAAGCACTTTTGCTTTTTAAATTTTCAGATGCCTTTTTAAAAATTGTCTTTGGCTGTCTATCTGTTAAGAGTTTATATGTTTACTTTACAGTCTATCTATCTGGGTTGATTTGTCCCATTTGGGAATGAGAAATTTTATTTAATACAAAAAGTTGATAATGTTGAGTGGCCAAGAAATGTGAAGTTCAAAGAGCTCAAATAAACAGGAAAGTACGCTAGAAAGACAGTGTTGGGATTTGAGGGAATCCATTAAATAGCACTGCTCTTTCCTGTCTTAGTTTTTAATCGATTGAGAAATATGGCAAAGGGGGAAGACATATGGAGACGACAGTATCCCCTTAATTACTGATAAAGTGGATCCTAGAGAGTGGGGGTCACAACTGCAACAAGTGGGTTGCCCCATGTGGCCCCCTTCCCTCCCATTAATAGGCAGTGCTGGCCTGAGGCAGGGCCTCCCGCTCCCAGGGGCTGAGCTGTCCATGGAGAGTTTAGCACAAGGAGGAGCCTGTTCTAGGCTAAGAGGGAGGGGCTGGGCCTCCTCTGCCTGTGCCACTGTCCTCTCAAATTCTCCAATGAGCCACACCATCCCCCCAGTGTTGACTAGGGGTGGCCAGGAGTATGACCCTAAAGGAAGTGGTGGAAATCTCAGATATAGGGAGGAAGCATTCACCTAATAAATTGGAAGGAGAAGCAAAGCCTTAGTTCTCCCTCTTTGGGAAGTAATTTGATATTTGTATTTAGGGTCTACAACTATGCCAGCAGATCAGTAAATTAACTTGCTTTTGTTCTTTTTAAACTTTTAGATTCTTGACTATCAGAACACCATCTTCTTTGGTGGAGATTGTATATCCATGATTGATTACCTCTTTTGGCCCTGGTTTGAGCGGCTGGATGTGTATGGAATAGCTGAGTAAGACATTTGACCACGTGGTCATGAATTCCTGGGGTCCTACTGGGTAACAGTGGTTGAAATGATCTGCGTGCCATTTATCCTCTTTGAGACACGTTTCACGATGCATATGAAATGAAATCAAGTTTTAAACTATGCGTTTCCTTGTTCAAAATGCACCTGTGCTCTTCTGCCACTGTGGACCCAAACTTTCCCCATATTTCTGCTAATAAGACCCTGGGTCCAAAAACCTCCCATAGTGCATCAAAGCCACTGTCTTCACCAGCCCATGCAAACTCAGGCTGGTAGTGACAGCAGATGGAGAGAGAGTCTCAGTCACAGGGTTTTGGTGACTTGTCAGCTCCCTTGGTGGCTCTGCACCTGGTCCTGTTCAGTCATCCAGGGGACACCATGCATCTTACTCACATCTTAGTTCCTTGAGAAATCTGCTCCAGATAGGAATATCCTTCAAAAAATAAATGATTTTAAAAGCAGTATTTGCCTGACGTTAAAGCAAACAAATAAAATGGCCACCCATATACCATGGACACACGTAGGGATGTTTAAAGTAGAAGAAATTGCCTGGGAAACTCAGGGAGGCCGTGTAGTGTCCCTGGGCAGAACCCGTGTTTTGTTCCCATGATGCTCAGAGGAGAGGTTATGCTGGCACCTGCTCTAATCCCAGCCAGTTGCCTGGGGGGTGTTGGACATTTCTAGCATTTGGAAATCTGGTCCTGCCGAGCCAGTCTGTACCCTCATAATAATGCACAGGCTTGAGTTACCCAGGAGTCATCTCCTGTGCTCTCTACTTCACCTATCTCCAAGGGAAGATCAGATATAACATATTTGGATATTTTAAACTATGACTCAACAAAAATATCACGAAAACCTGTCTCCTCTGGCGACAGAGTATTGAACCACAGATAGAAACCCTCACCTCTACTCCTGGATTTTCCACTAACCATCTCTATCTAGAGACAGTCACGTGACATATTCTAGACCTAACCTCTCTGATCCATCTTTGAGAGGGCCTAGTCAGCTCTATTATTTCAAGGTTTGATGATTGGTCTACTCATTTTTTTAAAAGTGTTTTTGGAAACTACCTGTCTTTTTTTTTTTACATCCCCTAATGTAAAATCTGAGATAGACAGAAGAATGTGTCTTTCAGGGGGTTGTCTTTTTGTGGGTTTACAGTGAGGCACAGGTACCTTCTTTTCCCAGAGCCATCAGTCCACAAGTATTGTAACTGAGTTGTTAAAATCAACAACAACATCTACAATTCAAAAGCACTCACAGGTATTCCAAAAATAAGATTTTCCTCCAGAAAGTGATCATACTCAGCTGATAATAAGGTCACTAAGATAACGTGATTGCCTAGAGAAACCCATTTTTTGTATCTCTTAAATCTAAAACGTGACACGTGCCACTTCTCCTGTCGCTTTCCCCTTCAGAGGAGCTAACACTTCTTTCTGTCCTGCAGCTGTGTGAACCACACGCCAGCACTTCGGCTCTGGATAGAAGCCATGAAGCAGGACCCCGCAGTCTGCGCGCTTCTCATCGATAAGAACATTTTTCTGGGCTTCTTGAATCTCTATTTTCAGAACGACCCTGATGCCTTTGACTATGGACTGAATTGCTGAGCCTCCACAGTCCACCCCTTCACCGTCCAGAATTCCCAAGCATTCATGATTCTGTATCAGGAATTGTTTTGGTGGGTCAGTCGATCTCTGTTCATTTTCTTTGAGGTTCCCAATAAACCTGGGGACAGAAAATGTATTCTTCCTGATAACTTGCATGACTCCTCTAACCCATTGCTTCTAAGGATTCTCCACTAATCTAGTGCCCAGTGCTAATGTCCAAGCACATTTGGGGAGCCTGGTGTGCCTCCCAGCTCCTTGGCCTTTGGCCCAGTTTGATCTCCAGGGTATTGATACTGATGTTGACGTTCAAGGCCTATCCATCATTGACATTTGTCACTACAGAATGGCACCATAACCTCCCTGGTGGGAGGAGAGCTAGAGAAGAGAAGGAAGAAGAAAATACTTCAAGTTCAAATGCTTTCCACTTGGCAAACGAAAGCTGCAGTCCATGTGGGCGTGCATGAGTATCATTCCCGTTCAAAATTTGGCCGCGGGCCTGGGAGAGACACTGAGGGTCTTATGACTGAAAGAATTCCAAAGCAGGAAATGAAACACCCGTTATCACCCTGGACTAACGACGTCAGAATTTCACCGGTGCTGTCGGGGCTCAGGATGGCTCACAAAATGTTCTATAGCCCACATCCTGCCTTAAAAAAATATCCACGCCCCAAACCCAGGCACAGGCAAAGGTCACTCTGTTAGATTTGCGTCACATACTTTTTCAATTCATCCCAACAAATGCCTCTGGTTGCCTGTTTTGTACAAGCCCTGGGCCATGTGCAGGATAAAGATGACAAAGATGACAAAGACACAGGAGCCCCTGATCACTCGTATCTTGGCTGTGGTGTTAAACCCAGTGCTCTGGAGTTGCTTGTCTTGTGGTGGAAATGCTTGCCTCGGCTGGATCTGGCCCTTCTGCTAGCTGGGCCTAGCTGTGCTCTACACTGAAGGCGACAAAGAGCCAAGAACGGCCTGGTGTGCTGGAAGTTGCCTTAGGCGTGGGATGGGCCTGTCCAATGCCATTTTGTCTCAGGGTCTAGGGATCAGCCTGTGATCCTTTCAGCTTTGTTCACGCCTGATCTTTTCCCAGCCTCCAGCCAGGCTGAGGGAGCAGGCAGCAAGGGGAGTGATGTTTTAATTTGTCGGTGCCATGGAGGAGCTGTCTCTGACTCAGCCCAAGCCACCGCTCCCCCCCTCCGCAATCCCCCATCTCAGCCTGGCCTGGCCATCTGCTGCCTCTGGGTGGATTTTGACTCATGTAAATAGTTACCAGTGTGACTCGGTGCCATTTGGACAGAAGCAAGCTTGCTTGGTGAGGTGGCCTGATCTGCCATAGCAGGCGCCGCGTGACAGGGGCCGTCTGCTGTGCCATCTGCTCAGGATGGGGTGCCCTGTTTCCATGGTGTCCAAACCAATGCAGAGTGAGGTCTGTGAGTCACATTTCCCTAAGATCTTTGCTTGGCTCCGATGGCCTCTCCAAGGAGGTGTGGACTGATCAGTCTCTACAGGTATAAATCCTGTGTGCTGGCGAGTGTTTGCCACGGGACCAAAATTGCTGTCAGTGCAACAGATAATAGCATGTCTCTGATGGCCAAAACCAAAGACGTTGTCTTGTGGGCTCCACCTACTAATTTAGAAAGATTGAAGCACCAGGAAATAAAGCATGGACAGCAGCGCTTGTGGGGAATGGTTGCGGCGCGGTGGCCCACAGCCCAGTCTGGGATTTGAATGCCTTTCTGCCAGGTGTGCTCTGCAGTTTGTCAGGGTCACCTGCACTGCCTTCCACTTTCCCCTTATTCATTCTTTTATGTTACCCGTCTGACCCACAGAGGAATCGGAGTTGTCAGCCTCTGGATGACACTAGGATTTAGCCTGGAGAAAAGAGGCAATTAAATAATGCTCCATGAAGAGCTTTTTAAAATACCGCTTTTATTGGTGGGGTAGGAACTAGGTGGGCAGGGAAGAAATAATGCATCGGGGTTAAAAAACACACAACAGTGGAAAAAAAAAATAGGAGGTCTTCCATCACCTCATGTCTCAAAGGTAACCACTTTTAATAATTGGTGTATGTCTTATAAAAGCATGTTAAATGTAAGGATTTAAGGTTAAAGCTGTCCTCTGTGTCCTACAGATTGGAAAAAGAGGAACATAGTGTAAACGGCGGCATTTGTAAGAGCCTCGTGGTCACAGACGATGTTACCATCTGAGTCAATGGCCAGAGGAGGTTGTGTGGAGCCCACCAGGCGTGAGTCTAGTTACACCCTGACGTGCTGGGTGGTGGGGTAGGGGTGGCCCGGAAGGTGGCAGTGGTGGTGGCGGTGGCGAGATGGTGACTAAATGTCACTTGAAATTCCTTCTAGTTCTAAATTTTCCTGATCTTGGACAACAGAGTGACTGTGAGTGTTAAGGGTGGATTAAATCTAAATGAGCAGGTAGACGCTGGAGCGTTCCCTTCAGCCCTGCAGGGCCTTCCTGTGTGTGCCTCCAGATCGCTCCGTGGAGCTTTGGTGGTGGTGATGGCGGGGTGTCTCTCCTTTGACTCCTCCTCCTCATGTCCTGTCTGGTCCACATTTCCTTTGTCAAAGTCAGTGGCCCTCGTGATGGACAGGGAGCTGGGCTGCTCTGCCTCCACAACCAAGCTTGACTCTCCCGTAGTTTTATGTTCCATCTGTTGTCGAAAGTCTTCACAAATAACCAACTATCCAGCCCAAGCATTTCTCATTGATTAGCCTCCAGCCCCTTTCCCCCTTTCTTCCCCACATTAGACACTGTGCCCACCCAGGAGACCCATTTCCCATCTATCTTCATCCATGAGTCCCTGGAAGGCTGGACATTTGGTCTTTTCAAACGTTTTGCTCACATCTGGCTTGTCAGAGCCCTGGAGCCTTTGCAAATGCTGTTTGCTTCACTCTCTAATCTTATGCAGAGCAGCCTTTTGTTTTTTTTCAACCAGCTTTTCTCTTGCAAAATTCGGATAAAAATTCTTCGTGCAAAGAGGTAGTGTACCATAGTGGATAAGAACAGGACTTTGCAACCAGGTGCACGGGTTTCAGATCTTAGCAGGGCCACTCATTCTGTGTGCAAGTTGCTTTACCTCTCTGAGCCTCAGTTTCTTATCTGTAAAATGGGACCACTGAGTACCTATTTCATAGAGTTGTTGGAGAATGATAGGATCATCTATGCAAGGGCGTAGCACCCTTTGGTCAGGTGCACAAACATTTCCTTAGCATGTGCCTGTCCCTAAGGTAGGTGTGGAGGAATAGGTCCTGTGGGTCCCATGCTGTGTGCTGAGGGCCCTCCCAGGGAAGAGATTCACATGTAATTGAGTGTGGTGGAAGGAGGTACTTGAGGGACAGCCTTGTCACCAGTAGGGGAAACAGGAAGTAGGAATTTGTCTGTAAAGAGCCCTCCTAAGAACAAGGGTAATAACTGCTACCATTTTCATCATTGAGTTTATTATTCGTCAGGCCCTAAGCTAAATGCTTCACATGTGCCCTTTTTAAAACTCAGTCTTCTCGGGCTGGCTGAGTGGCGCGATGGTTAAGAACTGGCTTGGGACACCAGAGGGCCCCGGTTCGGATCCCGCATATGAGGGCCAGTGAACACTGCCCTCCACAGCTAAGATGCTGAACAACAGCTCAACCTGGAGCTGGGTTGCCATGAGTCGCTGGCGTAGGCTGCAGCCCCTGTGGCAGTGGGTTGCCATGGGCTACCGTGAGCAGCCAGCAGCTGCAGTGAGCGGCCGTCCAGAAGCCAGCAACTGATCTGCCTCATCCGGGAAGAGCGCAATGATGGTGCCAACTTAGGCCAGTGAAGCAACGTCCTCCACAACTAGACTGAAGAACAAAACGACAGCAACTTGTCTGTTCCCCTTCCTCCAATTCCCCAGCACTGTTCCCTTCCCCCCCAATACCCCAATAAAAATCTTTAAAAAAAAAAACCAAAACTCAGTCTTCTCAATGGCTCTATGAGGTGGACAGCATTATTCTCATTTTATAGAAGAAACTGAGTCAAAAGCAAGGCTCATAGCAGCCCTGTGCTATTAATACTTTCTGGAATATCAGTCAGTCTTTGCACAGCTTTGTGATGGGAGAAGTCCTGGGTTAGTGGGCAGAACCTCACACATGGGCTTCCATTTTGTGCGGGCACATGGAGATAGGGCAGGGGTCTCCCCTTCCTTGTCTCTCTCTGGATCATGAAGCATCCAGGCTGAACAACCTTGCTGCTTGAAGTCTTGCCTTGTTCTGGATGAGTGGAATTTCAGGAGCTTCCCTGCTTGGCTGAATTATAAAATGCTGCGAGGAGGAAACAAATGTGTGGCGAGGGCTTCTTAGGAATCGTTCCAGACAAAGCTGTGACTGTGAAGAGGAATGAATACCACCAGCCCCTGTGGCCCTGGTTCTGGTTCTACTTAAGGCTCCTGCTGTGGTCTCTGTTGGCCCTGACTCCTGGGGTAGGGAGAACGTTTGGGCTGATGCATGTCCTTGGCTGGGAGATCTTGGGGCTGAACTGCAGGTTCAACTCCTGGGGGGGCTGAGTCACCACTAGACATGGCTTTTGGGACAGACTCAAGGCCACTGCTAGCCTTTGGGGGTCCGACCGCTGTCCCAAGAGACCTTTGATTTAACATAGCTCAGTCTACTCTGCAGAAATAGGTGCGCAATGAGGCCATGGGGGCTGGGTGAGTCATCTCTGGCCAGTTGGGAAGACAGGCTCAAGGGTGGCTTGTGAGAAGTAGCAGAAAATGGGTCTTTGTTTTCTATTTTAAGTAGTTACCTAAGAGAACCTTAAAATATCACTGATGGTGGGTTTTACAGAAGTAGAGGGGATCACATTTTTCCCATCATCCTACCCTACCCCTGCTCTGCAAATCGCACCTTACACTTTTAAGATCTGCCTTTTCCCATCAAGAAAGTAGAAATACTTTTGAACATCTCTGAGGTTATGTGGTTCTGTCTTGTTGGAAGATAATTTGTTGTTGACAGTTTTATTTCCTGGCTTCTTCATGGGGCTTAGAGGAACATCAAAGGGATGGAAAATGCCACTCGCACCTGTAAAGCAGGGGCCTCACATTGTGCAGGAGGAAATAAGCCAGCCCTGGACTCAGATGACTGGAACACAAGCATTTGGGGACAGAATGACAATTGCATTGATTTGATTTTCTTTGGGGAGGCTTTTCACATTTTCCTGTGTATGAGGGAGCTAAAACTGTCACAGCTCAAACCCAAAGCTTGATTGGCCACTCTTCCGTTCCCCACATGTCATTCGAGCCTCAGAGCCACATCGGTTCACCTTTAATTGCTCACCACCCTGCATTGTTCTCTGACTTACTTTTTTGGCCATTGGTCTCGTCTTCCACCTAGACCCAGTTCCTTGCGGACCGGGCCCTGGTCTTCTACTTCTCTTCCCCAGGTAGTGCCTGAGCCAGGGTGAAACACAAGGTATGCTTGGTTCAAAATGTCTTTTTTCCTCACTCTGGAGTCATGATGATTGAATAAATCCCAGGGAATAGTTTATTTTTATGGTAAGATGCTTGGTGGAGAATCCACAGATGGTGAGTACAGAATATAGGGATTACCAGGAGGGGAAGGATCATTTCAAAGCAGGCTTTATGCACAGAGGTGGCGACTGCGGTGTGGTTTATAGTAGCAAAACAAGTAGACTTAAGTGTTCCTCAGTCAAGGAGGTTGGGTAAATTAGGGTCCATCCATACATACAGTGAGATAGTAAGCAGCTATTTTAAAGAATACGGTAGAGCCAAATAAATGTTCAAAAAACATATCCAGGAAAAGTCAGATGGTGTGATGCAATTTATGTAAACAAGAACAAAAGGGATGCACCCACCCACTTGATGCACGTATAGAAAAAATGTTGGAAGTATATACAAGGAACTTCACATTGGTTATGGCTGGGGCATGGACCGAGAAGTTGGGAGTGGGAGCTTTTGTTACTTAATTTTTCTGTCTGGTTGAATTAAAAAAAATTTTTTTTATCATAACTGTATTGTTTTTATTTTTTAAAAAATCTAGTTAGAAAAACAAGCTATTTTTGGATGGTGATGAGAAAAGTTAACTCTGAAAGATGCCCCTCCTGGGTGGTAGAGTGGGTCATGGCCAAGGAGGGGAAAGTGGGCAGGGACGAGGTGAGTGGAAGGAGCTGAAGGCACTCGTTTCCTTCACTGTGTGGTTCTTGGCTCTCTCTGCTCTCCGTCTGCCGGCCAAACCAAACAACCTTCCAGCTCTGTCCCACGAGGTGGAGATGGGAGGGAGCGTGAGAATGTCCTGAATCACAGCCTTCAGAGGGACTGAAGTTAGGACTTCTGGGACGGTCACTGACCGCGGCCATAGTTGCCACCAACCCCACTCTGGAAGCCGGCCATCTCCCCCCACGGCACCTTACATAGTGCTGATCACATAGCTCAAGACTAAGTGGTTTTGGGCGAAGAAAGTTACTGTCTCACTCAAAAATTGCCAGTAGCTCGCTGCTGTATTAAGTCCAGATTTTATTATGAAATAACTTAATGTATGACATTCAAATGTACCTTAGCTTAGCATTCAAAGTTTTCCGTGGTCAGCCCCATACAACGGTTTCAAAATCATTTGCTTTGATCTGTCAGTGTATATCAGCATATATTCCAGCACTGCCTGCGTTTGAATCCTGACTTTGCTATTTAACATCACGTGACCTTGGACAAGTCACTTAACCCTTAGATGCCTCATTTGGAAAATGGGAGGATAACAGCACCCACATCATGGGGTAGACATAGGAATTAAATGACTTAATGTATCTAAAGGCATGTAGAAAGGTGCCTGGCATACAGTAGATGCTACTTCAATGTTGCCTACATCTATTACGCTTTCCCACCCTCACTTTATGGTTCTGGCTGGAGTGCTTCCCCTGGTCAGTCCTGCTTATCTTGCAGCAGCTCTATCAGGCAGTGCCCTATCATGAGGACCTGCCCCAATCCCTCCAGGTTTATCAGTAGTTCTTGGACTTTCAGAATCACCTGGGGAACTTGGCAAAATATATATATATATTTTTTTTCCCCCGATTTTTTATTTTTTTAAGCTAAGCCATCCTGCCACCTGTTGGCAGCTCAGCGGCAGCTCAGCTTGGGTCGGACTCGAACCGCTGTTGCTCAGAGCTCAAACCCTAGAGCGAGCTCTTAATCAGCTAAGCCACTCGGCCAGCCCAGGAACTTGGCAAAATAGATTCCTGTACTGGACTCCTAGAGATTCCACTGAAGTCTGCGGCATGGCCCAGAAACCCCCACCCAGGTGATACGCATGTGGTTAGTGTGGGGCCACCTGAGAAGCAGATCCTAACAGGGCTTCTCCTTTGACCCTACCAGCAGTGCATTTCCATCTTTCTTGTGATGCTTTTCACAGGTGAGTAGTTGGGAGGCCACCTTACTGTCCCTCCCAAGGGCACAAGCTTGGTCCTATTTATTTTTCTCTCTTTTACAATGCCTCGTGCAGATGAGGCTCCCAGTAAATGCTTGTGGACAATTAATGGCCTGCTAGAAAGAGGTGCTCACCAGCTTTGGCCTCCCCCATCTTCTCTCTGCTCCTCCTTTTCACTGTGAGTGTGGTTGCATTCGTGGGAAGCTGTGGTGTAGCTGATGCCACTTGGGTGATCCCAAGCAGGCTTGTTGGCGTTACCTAGGTCTGTCTTCCAACAGCTCTCTATGGTAGGGGTCGGCAAACTGCGGCTCGCGAGCCACACGCGGCTCTTTGGATACGTACATACACATGGCTCTGAAGTAAAATTGAAAATGAAAATAAAACTATCATAGTTTCATTTATACAATTTTTAAGGGATATTATTCATACAATGGTGATTTCATTTGTTTTATGGCTCTCGAATAATTTTTAAATTGTTGAGGGACAGGATTGGCTCTTGTCTCAAAAGTTTGCCAACCCCTGCTCTATGGAAAGCAGTCCACTTGAGTTTTCTTTAACTTGACATTTTGAAAGACCGTGAAAAGCCACCCTCAACTAGGGGTGTCATCAGTCACTTGAGGGAGCTTTAGAAGTAGAGCCTTACCTGGGTGCCATGTAGGTTCAAGGTGAGGTGTGGGCATTTGACCAAGCTCTCCAGGTCATTCTAAGGACACCCTTGATGATGAACCAAAGTGCTGGCTCCAGGTTCTCAACCTGGGCTGTGCTTTAGTAAGGCAGAAAGGGGCTGGGTCTTTTGAGGATGCAGGGCCCTCCCCACCCTAACCAGCCTCTTGGCCTTGGGCCACACTACTCATTTCAGCCTTGTCAAGAGGCTCAGAGTATTGCAGTCCTGGAACGTTCTGCACAGCAAGTGAGCAGAGGCTGGGTAAAGCCACACATCCTTGGGAAGGAAGAGGTTCCTTGGAGAAAGATGGCTGGGTGTCCTAATTGCCCTGAAGGACTCCAACTCTTCCATTTAAAAGACAGCCTCTTTTCTAGAAAACCAAAGCTTCACATTACTTCTAGCTCCCACATTTCTTGGCACACACCAAACTCTGGACTCCACCCTATAGCTGGCTTTCAAAGGCCTTTCTGGAACTCTCCAGGCTGCTTCAGAGATGGGCTAGAAATGTCCTATTTTGCTATTTTTTTTCAAAGTTTTCTGAAAGCAGAAGGATAAAAAGGAGTGAAAGCTTCTGCTCATCAGTAGGAAATCTACCCCCCTCCCCAACTCGGCCTCAGGAACCGCACCGATTTCCTGAAGTTAAAAACAAGCACCATGACCAGTTTCTACTCCTTGCAAGAATTTAATTCTCCCTTTAATATAAATAAGGCAGCATGAAACACCAAGAGCCCTGCTACTTTCTGCTCCATAAGCAGTTTGGGTGCATAAAATATCTCCATTTTCCCGCTGCGTTCTGGCCTCTGTATAAACGAGAGGCCAGAAGGTATTTTTGTTCAATGAACATTCTCCTGGAAGCAAAGGGGAAGCCGAGGGAGAGTCAGGCTTGGTCTTGACGTCTGGAGGCTGGTTCTTGGTTGCTGGAATCTCTTCTAAGCACAATGAGATGGGATGATGAGGGGAAAGGAAAGGCACCGGCGATAATAAATAAGGAAATTCACCCCAGTTTTGGAAATGAATCCCGACACAATGGGGGGTGGGGGGCTATTGTTGGAGACCACATGGGCAGGATCAGTCCCTGGACTGCCCCAGACGCTGTGGGTCTGGGAAGGGGTCGACCCCAGTGCTGCTCCGTCTAAGCCCAGCTCACATAAATGCTTGCTACAGTGCCTCATCGCAGCTGAGCCTCGCACCCTGAATTAAGCCTGCCAGGAAAACTGTCCATCTTCTTAAGCACTCTGAGGCTAGGTGACAGCACTCCAGGGGGAGGGGCAGTATCTTTTCTTCAGTTTGCGGTGAGCCTCCATGGAACTGGGTATTCTGTCTGGGAGGCATGGCCAGCTTACGCCCTGAAGGGAGAATCCAGGTGCTGGTGAAGGCACACTCATTCTTGCTGCTGCTTTGGCCCTCTGCAAGGGTTACTGAGGCAACGCCAAAAAAAGAAATCCCAATGGACCAGTGAAGTCGCAAGCGGGGGAATGGTTTTCCAGCCCTCCTGAACCAGGAGACAGAGGCCAGCTCCAACTGCAGGCTCTGGTGACCGCCAAGTCACCGCCGTTCTCAGCAGTGCCCAGGTGGCTTCTGAAGCCTGGGGGCTATGCCCGCAGTGTGTTCCTGTGTGCCCACTCAGCTGGGCCTCCGTCAGGCTCTTTGGGTCTTGGTCATCTGTGCAGCCAGCAAGAACCACCCAGAAGGGGGTTCTGTGAAGTGAGGGAGCCCTGCTGGAGTGAACAGCTCAGGGGGTTTCGGGACCTGCAGATGGGAGCTGGGTTTCCATGGCAGCTCTTGCTTCCAGGCCTGCCCTGCTCTAGGACTGGAGCCTTGGGGAGCACCCACGGCTATAGCATCCCTCACCTCTTAGCTCTGCAAGTTCCTCTGAACCGGGCATTAGAGGCCAGATTGCAATCCGAAGCCCCAGCACCCTGGGTGCCAGGCTGTCCTTCCCTCCACCCTGTGCCTGTCAGCTTCAGCCTCCAGCCCTCCCCTCCCACACTGATGGTCAGAAAGATTAGCTGTGGAGAGAATAGAGAGGGATGAGGGGCCACTGGGCTTGTACCTGGCATGGGATGTTGCGCCCACAGTGATGGGGACACAGCACACTGAGGGAGAGGCAGGGAGAAGGGGATGCACCCTGAATGAAATGTGCAGCTGAAAAACTGGCCAACTTACACTTCTCTCTGCCATAAGTACCCACTTCTGTGCAACAGAGACTTTAGCCACTTGGGCCTTGGGTCTCTACTAGGTCTTTTCTCCAAATAGTATAAAAAACGGCAGCCACAGTGGGACCCTGTTGTGCAGGCTGTGGATAGAAGGCTGCAAATTCCCACACCTGTCCCTATTAGTGCTTTGGTTGCAGATGCCTGGGGTCAAGGGTTACTGGACACAGAGGTGGGGGTCTTAACATGGAACCCTGTCAGCATTCCCGTCGATCAGCATTCCTGTTGATATTCAAGTAAAGACTGGACCTGGGATGTAAAAAGAATTACACCCAAATTGCTGTTGCATTATCTCTAACTCAGTGTCCACAGAGTGTCCCATCATCATCTTGGCCATTTGTGATGATCCAAAAACAAGCTGCAACGGATCAGTCCCCAAACCCAGATAACAGCTTCGCCAGCAGGCCCCAACGGCATGAAAGCAAACCAGCTTCTGGCTTGCAATTCTGTTTCCTCCACGCTACAGGGCCTGGCTGTCCTGGCAGGCTGTGCCAGGGCTCCCAACCAAGCCTTCCATTTTCCTAGGATAGGGCCTGCAGATGCCCCCAGGCGTGTACACAGGTGGGATGCCTTGTGTCTTGGCCCGCGAGGTCCTGGCTGCTCTACAAGACGACAGGTTTTTGGGGCAGGCTGGCATGGTCTGTGGGGATATGGAGGGAGTACTCGCTAATGAGTGCTGGGGCGTTCTTGAGCATCTCATAGAAGGAGTCCACTGTCTTCCGGTAGAGACTTCGCTGCAGGACGAAGGGCCGGAAGAGGTTGAGAGGCTCGGCCCTTCGCACCGCCTCAGGGAGTCCCATGGTCTCGGGAACCTTGCGATTGCCGATGAAGAAGTGATGGAGCTTCTTCTCGAGCAGGCTCTTCTCCAGGAAGCGGAGCAGCTCATGCAGACGAGCGTCAAGCAGCCCGGCCTTCCAGTCTGCCGCCCGCCGGGAGAGCAGGAGGTGCAGCAGGGCCGTCTTCAGATGGTAATTGCCCAGCCCACTGGGGCCGGTGAGGCGGCTCTGCTTGGAGAGCAGGAAGGAAGCGATCTGCAAGCAGCTGAGGTGGCAGGCACCCTCGGGCAGTGCCTTTGATGTGGTCCTGAGGAAGTGTCGTTCGTACACAGCAAAGGACAGGGGCCAGTCAGTGCTGGACACTGAGGTCCCCCCGGAGGGCTCCCTGGGAAGGTGGGAGACAAAATACAGGTCTGAGTCGTCACACTGAATCACAGGAATCAGGTTGAAGGGCATGAACTTTCCCGAGCGGAACTTGATCTTGAGGGACCCCGGGGTGTCCAGCTGCCCAAAGGCCAGCTCGAACTCGTACTTGTGGGCGATCCGGTGCCAGGCTCTGGTGAGGGCTGTCTGGAACCACTTCATGACCTGCAATGTGTTCAGGTATGGGGAACCTTTGCCACACAGTGGGTCTTCCACCTCCCTGCCCGGCTGCACCAGGTTGTTCTTGCCGTGGAGAAGGCACAGCATGTCTTCCCCGAGTTTGGTCTTGTCACAGATACAGCCCAGCGTATCCTCGTCAGCCCGGACTACCTTGATCTGGCCGTAGCCCTGGCGATCCAAGGGCACTGAGCGGCTGGAGCACCAGAGCTCTGGGTGGAAGTGGTAGGGCTCAGGGGGTATGAAGGGCACGAAGAGGTGGCACAGCAGTGGCTTGTCCACCTGCCAGTTCTCATACATACTGTCCACGCCAATGAAGTCCTCCACCTCCATGTCTGTGTCCCGGTTGCAGAGGCTCCTCAGGGCTTCCAGCAAGTCATCCACGAAGCCTTCCACGAACTCCCGGGTGCGGGCCGCGTCGGCTGTGGCCCCCCGAATGCAGCGCTCATAAAAGTGGTCCAGCGTGGCCTTGTCGGGCAGGGTGAGGCCTCGGAGGGGGGTGCCTGCCAGGCCAGGCAGCTCGTCCTCGTCACCGCCCAGGCACTCAGGCGAGGGGCCATCCTGGTGGTCTTGCCGCCACACCTCGATCACCAGGAAGAGGATCATGCAGAGGGTGCTCCACAGGTCCCAGGCCGTGCGGCTGTCATTCTGCTGCTGGCCCTCCTCTGCTGCCCGCTCCAGGGCCTCCTTCTCGGCCGCCAGCTGTGCCACCTCCTCTTCCAGGCGTAGCTGCTCCAGCTGCAGCTTCTCCTGGTGCGCCTGCATCTTGCGGATGATCTCCTCCTCGTTCTCGGGGACCGTGGCATTCTCCCATGGGAATAGCAGTGGGTGGTTGATGATGGCTGTCACCACCACCAGACACACCCGGAAGAGCCCCAGTGCCATGGCTGGAGCTTTCCTGGGAACAGAGAGACGACAGTCACACCAAGCTTCCCTCAACACCACCTCTTCCCCGGACCCTCCCACCAACCCCTAGCCTATCGAGCTGATGAATGTCTTACCGTCCTCCCCCCACCCAACCCACCATTTCCTCACGTGATTCAAGTCTAGCCTGGAGAACAAGAACCCTGCCAAGTCCCACAGCAGCAATCCTGGCTGAACAACCCACTGTGGCGGACCTCTGTTTCTGTCTGCCCTGACATTCCTCTTTCTGGTAGCAAGCACCCCACTTTCCCTGGGAATCTACCCTTTCCTACTCCTAGGCTTATGGTTTGGGTGGGAATAAACCCACTCCCAGCTCCAGGGATGAGCATATAATGCAGGACAAGACTAGTCCCGCCTCCCTTCCCCACTGGCCACAATGATTGGTTCAGGGATGAGCATATAACTACATTCGGGCTAATGGGAGACAGAGGTAGGATCTGTTGGGACCAATGGGGATAGGATCACATTTGCTATTGGCACATGCACTGAGGAGGAGCTCTCTAGCTACCTGAAAAGCAAGGTGTGCCTGAGAAACACGCCAACAAAGAAGAAAGTGGACCTCTTGGATCCAGCTATGCCTGAAGCCACGACTTCTGGACTTTTTAGTCATCTAAATCAATGAATTCCCCTTTGTGATGAAGTCAGTTTGTTTTTCCATCACTTGAAACCAAAATAGTCCTGAATAAGACATCCCCTTCTCCCCCCAGTGAATGCTTTGTGGCAAATGCATCTTTCCTCAATGCAGAGGCTAGTGGTTAAGAATAAGAGGGCTGCATTCCAAAGCCAGCCGTCACTGATTAGCTGTGTGATGTTGGGAATGTCAACTCACCTCTCTGAGCCTCAGTTTCCTTATTGTGTAAGAGGAAAGCCATAGTACCCACAGGATCATCATACTGATGGATGCGGTGATCCGTGCAAACTGCATACCCAGCACAGCGAATGACGCACAGCATGGTTTATTTGAACAGCAACTGTTTCTGAGGCAGTTTTGAGCCTTTACCTTCCTTCACTGTAAACCTTTCCTTCTGTTCTGGAAGACCCACCCCAAATTCAGGCACTGATCTGCCCTTCTCCTGGGTCCTTCCCAGGACAATCTTGGAGACAACCAGAGCGACGGCGTCATTGGTTTTCCTCTCAACCAGTCATCTGAACTTGGACCCAACTTCTTACTTGTGAGAGGAGACACTCCAATCCTCCAGGATAAATGGATTTGTATGTATCAAGTGACTTTTTGGGAAGGGCTAACCCCTTACAATCATTGCTATTCAGATTGTGCAGCTGCACTGCCCCCTGGGAGAGTTTGTTACAAATGCAGAATGTCGCCCCACCCCCGACCTATTGAACCAGAATCTGCATTTTAATACCATCCATATTAAAGCCTGAGAAGCATTGTCTTACAGTGCAAGCCTTACATTATACCCTCTCTTCTCTCTGGCAGGAACCTTAGGAAGTAACAATGGGCCTTTTCCACACTTGCCCCGCCCCCTTCCTGTCAGAGACCTCAGCCAGGAGAGCAAGTGGCCAAATGTAATCAGTTGTTGGACAACAGAATGCAGAGGGCTCCTCCCACCGTCCGCCTGGTGCATGCCAACACATGCTGATAGGAGCCTCTTCGTTCTGCCTGAGCCCATTCCCTGATCTTGGATTTGCACCCTGAAGACCAAATGCTGTGGTTCTTACCCTAATGGTGTCAAGGAGGAGGTGTTTGTCACCGGGTAAGGGCACCTCTGCAGGTTCTACGTGGCGGTGCCACGATGTAGATGACCTGAGTTGCTATACTTGGGCAAAACCTGCTGCCTAGATGTAACTCCACCCTGTACACAGCTGTATGTGTCAGCAGGTACCGAACGGGTTGGTGGGATGGAGGTCTAGTGGGAGCAGAATTCAGCGTGCAGACACGGTCAGGCCTCAGAGGTGAACTGTGTGAAGCGCTTACGTGTTTCCTGAGGAAGTGGATGACAGGAGAAAGTCAGACTGGAAGGGGGTGGGGTGACGAAAAACTAAGGGGGCAGCTAGCCAGGTTTTCTTCCCCCAGACAAGGAGCAGCTTGTTAGGTAATTGCAGAAACAGGTCAGCCCTGGTTTCTGTATTAGAGAAACATCAATGGAAAGTTTTGCTAGGGGGGGTCCAGGCCCCAGCCAGGAGGCTGGCTGATTAACATGGATCCGAGTTTTAAGATAAAGGAGTTCTAATAGAGTATCAGGCAGCAGTCAGTTAGGAGATTATTTGGGGGTTTGAGGCCCTTCAGGGTCTCTGTACTATAGGCAGCCACCTTTGGCCACAGTAGACCCTGACAAGTCACGGTAATAGTCCTTGGCAACTCCTAACCCAGGTTAGTTTCTGAGCCAACTCAAGATAGGATGCCACCAACTCAAGATAGGATGCCACCAACTTGGGAGTGATGCCATCACCAAGCCCTACAACTGGGGAGTCATCCTCTCTACCCGACGGCTTCCACAGGGCTCCCTGTGTCCAACCTTGTGCCTGCTGGAGGATGAAGGGCTGTAAAGGCCTACTAGTACCGGAGCAACCAAGTTCAAAACTCCAGACCAACTGGAGGGATGACTCCATGTAAGACAGGGTAATAACTCTGGAGGAGATGGACTGACTGGGTTAGCACCCAGCATGTGCTCCTACTATGTATGGGACCTTGGACAAATCACTCAACTTCTCAGAACCTCAGTCTCCTCATCTATAAAATGGGATAATATCTCTATTGTAAAGCTTGATGAGAGAATGCATATACAACACTTAGCAAAATGCTTGCCCCTGAGCAAGTTTTCTTACAAAAGGGTAGTTGGGATGGGATGAGAATAGCAGATGGACCTGCCTGTAGGGGTTCCAGATGCAGTGGGCCATACAGATGACCTGATAAGGAACTCTGGCAGGATGCAGGCATGCAGGCAGCCCACAGTGACACTGATTAGAGTAGGGTTACAAACTAGACTCGACAGGAACCCAAGAGAAACAGCGGCAGGAGCCCAGGCTGCAGAAGCAGGCAGGCCTGGGCTTGAACCTAGACTCTACTCCTTGCTGAGAGGTCTTGAGTGAGTCACTTGGCTTCTCTGTGGCTCCACTGCCTTACCGATAAAATGCAGCTAAGAGCAGGCCCTCTTTCACAGGAAGATTGACTTAATAAGTGAGATAATCCATCTCGGGTGCTTAGCACAGTGCCTGGCAAAGAGTAGGCCCCTTATAATACCTGCTCCTTCCCGTA